ACTTTCTAAATCTTCCCAGGGGTCTGGGAATAGGGTAACAGCAACACTCAAATGGTCCCAACAGCTCAGGAACCTTGCAGCGCAGCAGCATCCGGAAGATGAGGATGGCGAGGACTTGAGCATGGGTCCAGGGTGTAGGGCTATGTCCTTTCGTCGGGGTGTTTGTAGCTCAGAGTCCACATGCAAAAAGGGCTTAGGGTTTAGGTTTAGGGTCTTCCCTGGGGTCTGATGCAGTATTTTGAGATTCTGTCTGGGACTTTGTGGCGTTTGTTGGGTTTGGGGGTTTGGGATAGGATTTAGGGCGTAGGGCTCTGCCCAGCTCGTATCAGCATGTAGGGAGCCAAGAGCTTTCGGGCATGGAGTTTGGGCTCTCGGCTTTAGGATATTTCCCCACAGGATCCCACAGGGCACGAAAATCATTCTCTTATGAAAGTGTACCGACACCTGCGTCAGCCTTAGATCTCAGGCAGACATACCGGTCAAAATCCAAGCAAGGACGGTCAAGTGCCAGAGGTTTGCTTTGTACATTCCGGACACCGGCAGGGTGTGCTGCTGGGACGAAGTTGGAATTGGTCTAGTGTTGGACATTTCCAAACATTATGATGGTAAGGACTCCCCGAAGGACCCCTGATTTTTGGAACCCCTTTTAATAGCCTGGTACGCTACACAACTGTATCGGCACAGTTTTGGCGTGCAGTACCTCGAGATCTCGCTTAATTCGTCCTTTCGTGCAGGTCTCTTTTGTTCTCTGAACCGCTACATGTCCATAGCTCTTTCGTTTTGGTCAACATTCTCACAGAAGCTTGGTTTTGGACTTAGGTTGGATTTTGATTGGAACTCCATGGAGGACCTGCCGGGAGCAGTGTGGTTTTGGGGTCCAGGATTACGGGCTCAGCCTGGTGAAGATTTGGGGTGTGCTGGTCAGTGATGATTCCACCGAGCACGCTCCTATTGGCTTCTATTTGGCTTGCCTGAACTGCTTGTCCGTACTTGGGAAACAAAGAGGCTTAGGTACGTTTCCCACATGAGGTTGTGTACCGCTCTCAGAAATCACTGGAAGCCCTGACCCTTAACCCTCTGCATCCTAAGCCTGTGCGACTCCATGGAGGACCTACTCAATAGAATAATACACTATACAAATACTACAACCATATAGTAAGAATATACGAATCCGAAAAAAGACCCACTGGACACTGGAGGACCTACTCATGTGCTCCGTGGGCGAGGACAGCACGCTGCAGGTTTGGCAGCCGTCGCTCTCCGTCTTTGAAGAGGGTGAGGACTTCTGTGGCCGACATTTTAAGGTTCAGGGTCAAGGGCTCAGGGCGTCAGTCTAGGTCAAGGGTTAGGGCTTACATGAGGGCTCAGGGTTCGGATTTCAGAATTCAGAGGATCCAGGGTTTTGAGATGACAGGCGTTAGGTGAGTCTGGTGTTGTGGCCTCTTTCTGTGGTTCTAAGACGGGAATCCGCTGCAGGGTATGTGGAAAGTTTTAAAGACTTCATTCAAAAATCATGACCTACTTGGTAGACAGAGCTGTTCTCATCCCATGATGTAGTCATTGCGAAGTTACTGGGCTAGAGCTAGAGGTGCTACGGATATCAGTTTTTTTTTGAATAACCGCGTAGTCGGGATGCTTGAGCTACAAACCTGGCGCCTGAAGTAGGCCAGAAGCAAACAGAATAACCTCACAATCCCATATATTCCCCCCATATCTGTAGAGATACCCAGGGTTCCTAATGAGGGCCTCCCTTGTTTTGGAAACCCTGGCTCCTACAGCCGGAACCTCCCACCTGTTTCCCCTTGAGGAGGCTTCAGCAGACCAGGTCTCAAGTGAGAGGGCCGCCAAGCGCAGTCGCGTGGACTGAGCTACGGGGTGGCGAGCAGGTCCCCTTGAGGTCGACGGTTATGCTTTATGGTTTAGGGTCATACTGTGTCATACTCCACTACCTGAGGTAACTTCTATCAACTACTAGTTCCATGGTAGGCAAGAACAATGTTTCGTAATAGGTCTAGGTCATAGGTCTTCTTCGTGTTTGGTCTGCCAACATCTTGTGTCTGAACACGAGATGTTCTTGGGAAAGCCAAAAGTCCAGATAGAAGGACCAGGCACTATTTCAGATGTGTCACAACTGAAGGTCGAGGCTGCTGAGCGCAGATGAAAATCCCGACGTCCTTCCTGTGCCCACTTTTTCAATTCTTGCTGGTGTTTCACACTCGAAAGCTGTGTGATGGGGTTGTTGACGTTGTGACAGTCGAGTAGCCTGCGTATTCGACAAGTAAGTATGGCTTTCTTAGACCTCATTGCGTTCACGGCATACACGGGTCCTTCTACAAGGGCACTGCCTTTTGTGCAAGTAGGCCTTCTGAAGGTCTACCCTGAGATTTTCAGATCTCCCAAGCAACCTTACATAAAAGGGATCCTCTGTTCCCTGCATTGGTATCTGTCCTGTCAGGCTTCCCATGATCTTCGTTCCTGCCCCCCATCCCCGCTTTGCAGGTCTCCGGCCTTGAATCGCTCGGGCTCCCCCGGCATCCGAAGGGATGAAGGATTGAATGCATGGAATGGGTGTAGGGGTTTAGGAGTTCAGCTTTCTGGCGGTGTGCGAGAGGACAGATGGAAAAACAAATGGTTTAGCTGTTGATTTGAGCAGCCATAAGACAGGATGGTTCTTCTGCTTTTTGACTGTTACAAGGGCAGTCTTGATGCTCAGGAGCTCGTGAGGGGCGAGGCTACTCACCCGGATCTTCTGTGTCGCCCTACAGGCGCCTGAAGGGGGTTAAGGGCATATGTCTACTGTTTCCTTCAGCGTCTAAATGATACAAGGGTGTCGGCTTCAAGGTCCGAAGCTCCAGAGATCCGCTGTAACCACCCTGAACCTTAGAATCCTCAGCCTAGGCTTCAAGCCCTCAACCCTGAGCTTTAAACTTCACTGAACAGTAGGATGCGGCAAGACATTCCCAGGCACATCATGCGCACAGAAGATGCTTCTGACCATGCTCGGAGGTGTGTAGTGCCCGACTGATCTTAACCAAGAGAGGTCCTTCTCAGACCATCTCTGAAATCCACCCTCAACCTCTGAATATCATCACCGTTTCACATTTCCATGAATTTCAGCCCTTCATCCCCTTATCCTCCGAAAGATGCCCCACCCTTTGCCAGGCGTCCCGCGGGCCCGGGCAGCCGCAGTTGCGAGCGAACGCCGTCCCCAGGGTCCCGAAGTGTAGAAATGTTCTGACCATTCCTTTCTTGGAGAGTCGACGCAGAAGTACAAGGGTTTTGACAACTTCCGTGCTCCCCAGTCCTGACCATGAAGGATCCTATCATTCTGGGGGGGGGCCGGGGAGCTTTGTTGCTTTATGGTCGCCGCTACAGTATACTTCGGTCGTCATATTTCGTATCCTTACCACCAGAACGATGACACCTAGCAGCGCAGCACCTTTCTTATGACTTGGCCATGATGCCATTGGAAGCACGATGCCAATACAGTCACGGCGTTCCCATTGATTTACCTGCACCATCATTTGCACTCAACTTCTTCCAACTCCTGTTGCAGGTCACAGCGTCGTGTAGCGCCGCCAAACGCTGTCAATGGCAGAGGTGTGACCGGCAGGGCATGTAGGGCACAGATCGAAAAGGTTTGAAACCCTGAAAGGGGTGCTCTTTTCTCTACAGGTTTCAAGAACCTTCAGTGTCTTAACTTGTGCTACTCTCCCTTTTGTGTTATTGAGGCTCCATCCTAGAGCACAACCACGATAATGCGCAAACCGCCACTTTGCCACCTGAAATCCTGCGGCCGGAGGTGCCTCCGCACTTTCTCTGCGAAGTTGGGGGCCCAGCATATTCCAATCCCCAATTTTGGGAACCAGTAGCCCTATAGTATCCCTATAATGCCCCTATATACCCATATAAATCCCCCATAACTAAGATTCTGGGGCTCGGTAGGGGAACCCAAGTAATAATCACCTCCTCTTAATATTGAGAACCCGCACCCCCTAATATTAAAGATTCCCATTATGGTAGGCTATTGGGAGGATTTAACAGAAGCGGGGTGGGTGGCTTTAATATCGGGGGGAGGGATCGAAGGGGTCATATTGTAATGTGAAAGAGGTCTGTAGTCGATGACAGTAGAGTTTCGTACTATGCCTACTTTGTCCTTTAGCAACGGAGCTCTGGAATCGTGGGGTGCTGTTTTGGGACCTACTACAGCTTGTGTGGCTGCTTCGTAATTTATTATATTCCTGAAGGGGCTTTGACAAGGATATTATAGCGCAGTTTCTGAAAGTTATGGATGCCCAGATGAGGGAGGTAGAGTGTAGGCGCTTGAAGACTCGTAGGTTTATAGTATACTAAACACCAAACCCTGAACCCTGGGACTTTTGTGGTTGGGGGCGGGTTCTCAGAGTCAGGGATCCTGTTTTGGGCACGTCGTTGCAAGGACTTTTTGCTGGCATCCGTACTTTTTTGAGATGGCTGTCAACTTGGCGGTGACATGAAGAAAAACCAGGCTTTG